TTAGGGTTATTGGGGTTTAGGGTTTTGGGTTTGGGGTGTGTTGTTGGTTAAGGGCTCTTTCCAACTGCGTACAGGTGGCCTTACCAGGAGGAGCCTAGGGGCTGAGGGTTTACGGTTTAATAGCGTTTAGGGTCTTCCTGCACCCAGCAGAATACTAGGCTTAACAAAGATGTTGGGCCACTATTTCACCTACTTTTTGTTTGGGTGGGGTTTGGAGTTGAGAGAGTTTAGGAGGGAGTCAAGGTGCTTGCTCAAAACATCAGGCTTTGCAGAAAGCTTCTTCAACGGAAAAGTATGAGAAAGTTGCACCAAGCCTTGTCAGAAATCTAGTGGTTGTGATGGTCTCTTTTCAAAGGATTACGGCTGTTAAGAGGGTTTCTTCCAGAAAGTGAAGGCATTAACAATGTAAAGGGGTCTCAGCAGTGTGTTATGGCACGTTACAAGGGTGTCTAGAGGATTCCCGAAATTGGCGTACCTCGTTTCAGGGTCCTCTTCTTTCGGCTACTATTATTTAGGATCCACGATTAAGATTCCCGATTCCATTTGGGTTCGTTTTGTCAGGACATTGCGAGTCTAAGTTTTTCTGCCATGCACCCCCAACCCCAACCATAAGGCCTAAATGCAGGATTGCAGGAAGTTATGTAACAAGGATACACAACCAACAGCGGCGGGCTGGAAGCACTGAGATTCCCGTGCAAGACCGAGCGAGTCCTCGAACGGAAGGGTTCCCTTTGAAAAAGCTCTTGGAGGGGCTCCTTGAAGGGTTTAACGTTGCGTTCATGGAAGAATGAAACTCCTTTCTCAGGAGGGCTTGGTCTGACATTATAAGTTCTAGGAAACCACTGGACATTCTAAATTTTAGATGCTCTGAACCCCTGAAACCCCACAAACCGCGGAAAACCTGAAAATCCTTAACCCCTGAATCAACATCCCGAAACACTACGCTCTAAACCCAGAGCCTTGCGTGCTAGATAAATGACAAGTCGCCTTCCCAATTGTGAGCCCCATGTCGCGTGGGCGCGATGAGCCAGGCACCATGGACGCCAAACGTGTAGTCTTCCTCGGGCGTCGGAGTGTGGGCATTAAGCATGCCTTGGAATGCATAGGCTGATTGGGAAATCGCAATAGAATGTGAGCAAAACGTTGGAACCATATCGATGCTTATCTGCTTGGGTCCAGAGTTTGCTGGTTTGCAAGCCCGTACAAGCATTTGGTTGCCACTCAACAATCCCCTAACCTCAGCTTTTCGCTGGTACCAGACCTGGCTGGTGACGATGCGACGTGTTCAGGTAGTTCGGCACTCCCTGAATCCAAACCCCGTGCCTGCAATGAAACCGGCGGAGTTGCGGAACCACGTGCCTTGAATTTGTAGGAGTCAGCACCTGAGCGACCCGAACGAGCACAACAGCGACTGCAAACGGTTTAGGGATCACATAGCGCTGAGGGTTGCAACAGCGAGTGGTTTAACACTTGGACTTCATCTACTAGCTTCTGAAAACCAGAACCGGCATGATGTAGAACAACGCTTGTCCGAGTTTGTAGTTGAAGCTGGCCGACATGGCAGCGCTAAACGCTAAACCCCCTTCAATTCATACGCACACTCCCTTGCAGGCCCGCCGCTGTCTCTGGCGCTGATGCTCGTTCCAGATAGGCTGATGAGCACAGGACATGCGTGGCCTCACCAGTAGGGAATTGAATAGATGCCCTAATAGTTTGAATAGTGCTCCTCTACAGGCAGCAAGAAACAATCTACAAGGGGCTGTCATTGATAGGACTCATAAAACCTAAGCTCAGCAGCAATGAAAAGACCCTGAACATAAGCCCGGCATCCTGAATCCTAGTTAAACCCAGATCCCCTAATTAGGGACCCTAACTACTAAAGGGTAGTTTATAGGAACCCCCTTAGGGGATCTATTTTTTAGATCCTTTTGGGGGTTTTTGGGTATATCCCCAAGAATTGACCCGACGTCCCACATCCCGAATCCCCAAAAGAAAGGAACCGACGGGATCGAAGCCTCCGCAATCAGTCTGAGGGAGAACCGCAGCTGCATGCTGCGTGGAGCCATCGACGTCCTCAAGACGGGGTTCAGGGTTTACTGCCCTCACAGTTTGGGGTTTAAGAATTAGGGTTTGGGGCTCATTCAAGAGATCCCTCCGGTAAGGACACCTCAGGAAAAAGGTTGGCCGGAACATATATTCAGGGGAACTGAAACCCTAAACCCCAAGACCCAAAGTAAGGGATTTTGCAGTTTGTGTGTTGGGATTGGAGACATTACTCTTCCGGCCTACTTCGAACAAAAGCGTTAGTAATTAGAGTAAGGCTTGGACGATATATTCGTACATAATCGCAACATAAGTAGTAAAATTATACTGGAACTACAAGGTGTAAATAGCTGAAGGGGCTGCGGCGTTGAGGGGACTGTCTGGGGATTTGCTGCACCCTAGTTTACTATAACCATGTTCCGTTAAATACAGGGCACGCAACAAATACAACAGCGTTTCGTGGTACATACAAGTGTATAATACTGTATAACTACAAAGGCACTACGCGGGATCAATATTGCCTATCCTTCAGACTCATATATTACGTAGCATCTGTACTAGGAGTTACTATATTATGGTTTGTGCAAGTATCCCCCTGACAGCGACTAAGCCACGAACGATCCTCTGTGGGAGTGCACTCTGGGACTATGCTTCTGATTGTCTTTCAGGAAACCAACAGATCCTCAACCCTAAACCTGCTTGACCGGTATGAGATAAGAAGCTCCGATGCTACAATTTGAAACGGCTTGGTGCGCATGCATCGCTGTAATTCGGGTGTGCGAATCGAAACAAGTTTGGACTCGCCCGCTCCTGTATACAAAGTGTCGAACATCGGGCTTGCGAGGATGTTCACTATCTGTGACCACTGCAATCCTCAGTATGTCCATTTTGGAAATTTCGGTCTCGATATCGCGTAGCTACTTAGGATCTGTTGGGATAGCACTTCGAGGGGCGTCTATGTGCAACGTGGGTCCTGGAAGGTGTACACGAAGCTCTGCGTGCTCCGTCGGCACCTGCCACGACAAACAACAGGCGCCAAAGAAAGCTCGAGCCGCTCCCTTTCCCCCAACCCTAAACTACTGAATCCTCAACTCCTAGCTGAACCCTTTGATCCGAATCCACAAAGCACCCATAAAACATAGGTGCTTAAATTTTTGTGGTACTATACCCGTAATAAGGAACCCTAGGGAGTAGTATTTGTAATTCTGCCGGCCCCATAACTTTAGCCGAAACCGGCAGCCAGGATACTGCAACTTCACACGGAGGGGTGAACTTTGCACCACCTTGCCAGCCACCTCGGCAGATGACGAGGCTTTGGAACTTTTTGGTTTTGGGACTTAGGGCTTTAGGGGTTTAGGGTTTAGGGTTTAGGGTTGATTTAGTGGTATCGGTGTTGGGGTGTAGGGGCCAACTGTTGGCTGGGGGCTTCGGCTTGGATGCTTAGTTCTCGGGCCACTGATACAAAAACTAATTTAGACCGCTATACGCTATACTTGGCGAATGGGCTGTAGGCTTTTAAACGGTTTAGGATCATCTCCAAACTCCACATGAGACTCTCCATACCGCACGACCCGAAAGGCCCGTCCAGCATCGACCCCAAGCCTCGGCGAAACCAAAAAAAGACCTTCTATATAATCCGCAAGGCGCACTGAACAAAAAACTGCCTAAACAAAAAGGCCCAAGTTCCCCAGCACCCTACAGAAAAAACATTCGACCAAAGTCACTGCCCCCTCGAAGGCCAATCGCAGGCTCTTTTCCCCGCGACATGCCTTCCGGATCTCTTTGGCTTCAGGTCTGGGTGGGCTCAGGGTTTGAACTTTATGAGGTTCAAGGTCTAGGGTTTAGAGCTGTGGGTTTATGGTTTAGGGGGTAGGGTTTGGGGTTCAGGGCTTAAGGTTTTGGGTCCGGCGTTCCTGTTACTTAGGACAAGAACCGGCAAGAAGTTCGTCGTAGAGATACAAGCACAAGTGCGAAATTGGGTCATCCGCCGTGTTGCTCTGCTGCACTCAACTTCTAACCTGGTTACTAGAGTCACTAGAGTCCCCTATCTTCGCGTAGATTCTAAGGAATAGGAACATGGGGTTCAGGGTGTAGGGCTCGACGGTAGGCTTCAGGGTGCTAGGTTGACTACGACTATACAGTTCGCAAGAATGGGTCCCCTGGAAGCCCTGGAAGCTCTGAAATCTGAAATCCCACAGGCACCGAGCTTCCTAGGATCCACTTTTGGGATTACCGGATGTAGGCTTTAGGATATTGGAATGATCATGGCCCTGCTTCCCTCCCGTTGCCTCGCCCTTTTTCTGGTCGTCTTCCGGCCTCAGACTAGGGCGAGGATCCTTTCCAAATGACCGTGAAAAGTAGAGGCCCTACTATACGGCCCTATACCCTGCAGGTTAGGCATCCAGAGTTGGGACAGGATTAAGCCAACCCCTGAAGGCCAGAACTAAAAAAATGTAGCTTCGGATGTGTGAGTTGTTTTTGGGTTTAGGGTCGAGAGGGTGGTGTAGGGCTTCGGGTTTAGGGTGTAGGATTTGAGGAAAGGCGCTTGCCGAGCTCCAGATGGATGGTCATCCGCCTGGGCTTCAACCCAAGCAGGAACTTTTGGTGGTAGGTTGCGGGGTTCCTAAGAGTCTGGGTGTTTCGGATTTTGGTTGTTGGGTGGTTGAGGTATGGCCCCGAAGATTAGACTCTAGAAGGGCACTTCCGGAAGGAGGTGGGGGATGACAGTCCAGAATGCGCTGCAATGTACAGAACTAACGAAAGATACAGTATCGCATCGCAGGAAGATCTCACGTCCCAGAAACCCGTTTTGCCCAGCATTCAATCAGCACCATTATTTCGGCGCGCAAGACGATTGAGAAGGTGAAGAGCGAAAGGACGTGCAGTCACGCGGGTTTGGGCGGTGCTTCTCACGTATCATCCGGAGGTTTGTGGCTGTGGAAGGAAAAGAGCTCACTACGCAACAAACTATGAATCCTAACCAATCCGCAATCTGCCCAAACCCGACGTCCGAAATCCTTCAAAGGCAGCACCATCGCACCATCCAGTTTTGAAGACCATCCTAACCACCTGGAATCTAGAACCACGACAACCCTGAAGTCTAATCCTATTTGCTTGGGGATCCTACTGGGCACACGAGCTTGAGGACCCATAAACTCTCGGTAATTTAGACAGCTGGTATCGCAGTGCCCTCCTACTGGACCCTCCAACAGGAGCCCTTGCCGAAAGCCCTCCAGCACAGCGACATGCTTAAACTTTGGGGAATTACAGACAAATCCCGCGAAGCCATAAAGCCTGAAGCCAACACCATCAACCCTAAAACCTAAATCTCCGCAAAGCAAAACGCCAATCAGCCGCCCAGAGGTTCCGGGGGCAAGGGATGACGGCAGTGGCTGGTCATGGGCCAAACCCAACGACCTCAGGTACTATAGGAGCCTTCATAGTTAGAATCCTTTTTTTTTTTCTTTGGGGGGGGGGGNNGGTACATATTGTGGTATGCTTATGGTGAGGAAAGGTATATTACAGTAGTAAAGTTATCGCAAGGCAACTTATGGAATGTTGTTGCAATTGTTCGGGCTTCTATAGTACCACTTGACATTCGCACCCTTTCGGCTTGGAGGGCTGGAAAAGGGGTTTCAGGGTGCTAGGCTTAGGATAGCGTTTAGTGCTTAAAGTTTAAACACTACTGTAAGATAGGGTCTAGGGTTGAGGGTGCAGGGGTTTGGGAAGATGATGTTCGTTGTTCTGGCATGTTCTGGCTTTGGGTTTTGGTTGCAGGAATTTGGTTGTTTAGGGCTGTTGCTTGTGTTTTGCCGAAACCCTAAACCCTGTATGAACCGTAGACCCCAAACTTTGGTTTGACAGTGTCATGCCTAACGTCTTACATGATACCTAGGGTATGATCATGGGCATGATCGTGCCACCCCCCCAACTTGGAGAGTCAGGGGACGTGTAAAGTACGTTATAAGTATAGTGTCCTCAGCAGCACAACCCCAGCTAAGGCTCATCCTTTAGCTGAAAGTCCATACACCTCTAACTCCAAACATGACAAACCACAAACCCAGAAGCCTGAACTCTCAACGCCTCACGATTTAGGGTTTCGGCTGTACGAAATGTCTCATCGTAGATTCAAGCGAGCCGCCTGCTGCCCACACTATCTGCAGCCACCAACTTTGGCCGCAGGTCACGGATCCAAGCGTCGCGATCCGCCTGCGGAGGCTTCCAGTGTCCCTTCGTCCCACAAACGAACCTCTATACTGTAGGGGCCTTACGAGTTAGAATGGTGTTCGGGGGTACCTTATAGTAGAATACTAGCAAAAAAAGGAACCGTAAGGATTGATATTGGGAATTATTCCGGCTCCTATAGTAGAGTTGTTGAGGAAGATATAATAAGGGGTTGGTGCTGCTTAAGGGGTTTACTAGTTCTTACACCAATTCAAATCATTGTGTCCTAACTGAAGGCTGCAAAGCTCTATTCGGGGTTGAAAAGATTTAGGGCTTCAGGTATTGGGCTCTGATGGCGTTGCAAGGATCTTGTTGGATTGTTAAAAAGCGATACCAGGGTTTAGAGCTTTTGCACGGGGCTTACAGAAGTTTAAGAAGCCCTGAATTGAGATGTACCGCAAACTGCTGTATTAAAGATCTTACATTTAACAAGCCACAGAGTCTTCATGAAGGCTTTTTCGGGCAGGTCAACCCTTTTCAGGATAAGGGTACCCTCTAACCTCGTATCCAGAGCGTCCATAGTCCCCAATGCCCCTTAATTCAGGAACATGCCTTCAGTCATCAAAAAACAGCACTAAAAGTTAAGGGGCTATGGCTATGAAGAGCTCCCGGGCTCTCTGCACTTCGGTCGTGCGGTTTGGGTCAGGCGTGCCGTTCTGGTGAATAAGCCCCCTATACCAGCTACAATATGCCACAATGCAACATCGAAATCGAATCAAGCCTTTGCCTTCTCTGCCCGAGGCTGAAACCCCAAACCAGGCTTCACTTCGGGCCTTGTTTGGGGCATTCAAGTTCGCCAACCCGACGGACAGAAGGGGAGAGCTCAATGCCACAAAGCCTCTGAGGAGCATCTTGGTGCTTTTCGGGGTTTGTTTTGGGGCTTAGAGCTCAGAGCTCGTTGCTTAGGGTCATGGTTCTTCAAGAGGAAAACTGTCACATGACGTGCGCTCGTGAAAGCTTTAGGGCTCAGTACGATTGCTAGAGATTCACATCCACATGAGACACAAAGCGTGTACGGCTGAGGTCTTGGATGGGGTCGTCGTGCCAGGCCCCTGGGTGACCCCAGTACCTGCTGGCCTGAAGCATTTGCATCGGCTGTGGTTTTGTCCGCGAATACTTTGCACAACGCGTCGTCGCACTCCCGCCCGGGCATCGGGTCCTTGATCATTCTTGCGTCTTCGGTCTCCGAAAATTTCTGCCAGACGATCACCCGATGGGCACCTGTGCCTGCCCAGCCCGGTGTCAACATGATGCAGCTCCACATACGTCAGACTTGCTGGCACTCACCTTTCGGTCGAAGAAGCTGAAATTGGGGTTTTGGAAAAGTTAAAGACCCTTTTGCTGTTCTGTTCAGGTGGCAGGGTGGTTGGGGCCTAGGTTTAGGGTTAGGAATTGGGGCGAAAGGTTTTCCACTGCACACTACAGATCTCCACCTAACACCTTAACTTCCATATCCACAGCCCCTAAAAACTCCCTCTGCGCCTGCGCTTTCCACAAGATCTGGGGCCGCAAGGAAGCTCTCCTCGCAAGCCACGTCAGGGAGAAACTCTCAGATTTCAACCATTCAGAGGATGTCGGAGGTTTTGGGATTAATGGCTTAGGGGTCAGGGTTCAGGGTTCCAGGGTTTATACTACAGGCTTATAAGGCTAAAGGAGTTCAGGATCAAGCAGTGGTTGGCTCGGGGGTCGAGCACCTAGAGACTCGGGTAGTCAGAATGGTTTCAACTAGACGCCTGTAATGTAGGGGCCTTAATAACTAGAATAGGGCTTGGGGGTATATTATACTATATTTATAATAAGAGCCCCTAATATAGCATAGGTAATTGTAAAAGCCCCGACATTAACTGTATGCGTCCCGAAAGATGAAATCCCCCTACCGAAGCTTTGACAAGCTTGAGGTACGTATACACGACTATAAGACTGAGAAGGAACCCTAAGCCCTAATCTAAGGAATACTGTTCTATACCAACTATTCCGGTCCCAATGGTTTGGAAGCCCCGAAAAGCCCTAAACCCTCAATCCTCGACCCTAAACTCTAGATCCTAGACCCTAAACCCAAAACCCCCAAAACTCTAAACCCTAAACCCCCAGGACCCCAGACCCTAAGCCCTAAACCCCAAACCCCCAAACCCTTTAGAACCCAAACAGCTTGATGACTTCGGCCGCCAGGCGGCCCCGAAAAGATGGAGCGGGGACGCTTCAACTCGCATCTTCTCAACGAAGCAAGCGAACCTTACAGGGTTACATAGGGCTCATAGGGCTTAGGGTGTAATCCGGGTGAGCGAACCTTACAGTTTCCAGAGGGCTTATAGGGCTTAGGGTGCAGGGATCAGGGTTTAGGGATCAGGGTTTAGGGATCAGGGTTTAGGGATTAGGGTTTAGGGTTTTGAGTTTAGGGATTTGGGCTAGGGGCCTAGGCTTCAGGATCCTAGCAGCGTTGGATCTCGGTCCTCTTAACAAGGGTGCCGTACTATTTTGATGGGATTGGATCTTGATTTGCCTTGGAACTCAAATTCTCTGCTGATGCCACCACTCTTGGTCATCCAGCTGAAGGTTCGGGATTCACCGATGAGTACACACTACTAGTCTTTGGCCTGACCGGACTCGATTCAACAAGGGATGAAGTCAGCGGCAAGATCCTCTGTTGGATCACCGTTCCTCCACAGTTGATTTGAGCGATCATGCCGTTCCTATGGTGTCAACATCCTTCCGCTACCGGCGGACAGGATGACACAGGCTGTGGTTCAATGGCACAAGGAAACAACTAGAAGAAAAGAACCGGCATGTGTAGCCATGATTGATTCTAGCATCTCTAAGAGTGGGTGGGGTTTGAAATACGCTGCTGCAGAACCAACAACTGCAGCAGCAGCAGCAGTGGGTTAGAATGTCAACACGAACAAGAAATTTCGTAAGCCGACAGATAGGAAGGAAGACAAAACAAGCAAAAGCTCGAACACAGGTGTCGAAAGACTGTTCTACTTCAGATTCATCACACTTATGGATCCCTTGTGGAGGTCGTATAGAATCCTAAATCCTAAGCTCCAATTCCTCAACCCAAACCGCTAAAGTCTAAAACCCCCATGATCACATTCCGAAGCACTGAGTTTGTATCTTCCCGCGAAGCCGAAGCTGGATACGATGGCTACCTGCTGCCAGGCGCACCTCGGAATCGACTGGCCAAGGGTTAAGGGTTGAAGGATACAGGGTTCAGGGTTTAGGGTTGAGGGATGCAGGGTTCAAGGTTTGGGGTTGATGTAGGATTTGCAGCTGCCTAGGTCTGATGGGCATTTTCGACTCAGGCTGCATGTGCCATTCCAACGGAGATTTGAAGCAAGAGAAGGTGACGCACGATCAGGTTCTTGGTCATGCCGCAGCATGCCTTGTGCACTGAAACCCTGAAACCTACATCTGCTGGGAGAATACACGGGCCTTAATGAACAGAATTAGAACGTGTTGTTGAGGTGTGTTCTTAAGGCTGTTATTAACCGTTCCGACCTGTATTGCCTGCATGGCAAGCCCAGCTTAGCTTCAAACCTGAATGAGAAGAAACACTATGGGAGAAACACCCTAACTACCTGGAATTCCTATCTTCAGCCCCCTTAACCCCTTAACCCAAACCCCCAAAAAATCCCCAACCCTAAACCCAAATCCTAGAAAGCCCCCACCCCCGGGATTAATGTATTATCCAATGGTTACATAAAAATCCTAAACATCCCTCAACCCTAAACCCCAAACTTAAGCCCGTTTAAAGAACTTTTCACCCAAAACCTACACCCCCAAACCCTCCACCGGCAACCCCCAACCTTGGCCCCTAAACTCCAAACTTAGAACCCCAAACCCTAAGTCTTCAACCGTAAATCCTAATCCCGAAACCTCAAATCCAAGCACCTCAAAGGCCCCAAAGATTAAGCCCTGCCTTGAATTACCAAACCCTACTTTCGTAGGGTCCCAAAAAAAAGTCTCCATTATGGGCCCAATAACCGGTTCTAGAAAAGGGCAAGTTCTCGTAGTTTGAGGTCAATCCTACACCCAAAAAGCTTGAAACGCGAAGTCGGAAGTCACTGTCGAGGCACGGGCCACCGAGGAAGGCCGGCATGGTACAGATCCTTTTGAGGCTTCTCTTAACGGTTCCTATATTAGGGTTTAGGGTTTAGGGTTTATTTCGGGTTGAAAGTTTAGCACTTAGCTGGTTCTTTGTTTAGGTGTTTAGGAAATCCCAGAAGGCTTCTACGAGGTATCTTGGCTAACTTGGGTCCAGGGTTGAGGCTAGGGCGAAGCCTTGCGGAATTAAAGGTTTGCTGTCTTTGGAAGCTAAGGCTTCAGGGTTCTGGCTGCGTGACTCAAGGTGCTATGGTTCAGGGTAGAGGAATTAGGCTTTAGGGCTGAGTGTGCAAGTTGCTACCCTCAATCCCAGACCCGCTTCTCTTTTCTTTAGGCTGGGTCGTGCTCTTTCCGTCCGGTTGGGGGTTCCGAGTCTACGCTTCCGCCATGAATCGTATGCGGTGGCTGATGGGGTTCTATAGGGTGTTACGGGTTTTGTAGGACTTGATCAGGTTCTGAAGAGGTTTTGGAGGGGGGGATTCTAAGCTCTGAGCTAAACCTAAAATCCTTGATGTCTTTGGGCAGACGGCTCGACTTCTCAGCAGCCAGAACCACGAAGCCCTACTCCCCATCATCCCGAAGCCCAAACCCGATACCCCAAGCTCCAAACTCTCTAAACCCTGGGCCCCAGACCCGAAACAGAACACATAATGAATTAAAACTTATATAACCATCAGATAATAAAAAAAAATTGAATAAACTAATCTTAAAAATTATACAATTAAACCCTGGAAGTCTCCAGCCCCACTCCTTTTGGAGTTTATAGGGTTTAGGGTTTATAGGGTTTAGGGTTTAGGGTCCTTTGGAGTTTATAGGTTTTAGGGCTTTTAGGGTTTAGGGTTTAGGGTCACTCCTTTGCCCATCTTTCGTCCCAGAGGCGCCAACAAAAGCCTGCCCATCCAACTGGAAGGCTGACACGCCCTGGCCTCAAACGTGCACTTCAAGCTCTTCCGTACTATGGAGCTGTTGTAAATATTGTAGATTTTGGGTTCAAGCGTCGCTGCAGTGTCACAGGCATTCGTGGCTGGGAGGAATTCCGATTTATCAGCCATGAGACCCTAACCGCCCTAGACCGCCACAGAGCTCAAAACCTCGATTCTTAAATCAGCCGTCATTCCCTAAAACCCTATACACTGCCGCAAAGACCAAAACTTTAATCTTGAAATCCAAAACCCTGAACCTACACCCGCGACACCTGAATCCCTATTGGTGAGCACTTTGTGTAACTCTGCCTTGAAGGTCTTGGAGGCTCAGCAAATCCTAGAACGTCACTAGGTTCGCAGTACGTTTTAGGGGTAACGGGGTTTATAAGCCTGCCATGAGGCTTCTCAGTGTTTTCTCTATGGGTTTGCAACGGCTTTATACGTGTTGCAAACTAGCTTCTCCAGTAGTTGCTTAAGAACACGGGTACCCTCGTCCTTAGCATTGAGACCTTCAAAGTTGTAAGACTACTGCCGGGCGAGAGATAAAAACCCAAAAGAATTCTACCGAACCCTATAGAAAGCCCTTAATAAGCACCGTACAGCCCCCAAACAAAATCGCCTGAGAAGTCAAACACAACTTCGATTTCAAAAATGCACCAACCAAAACCATGGCTGCCCCAGGACTCCCAAGTGCAAACCCAAGAGGCAGCCCACCAGCATGTCCGAATCCTCGGATACCTTGAGGCTGCCCGTCGCACGCGCCTGACACAAAAAAATCGCGGGAGCTCCAGCCGTTAGGGTTTAGGGTTTAGGG